ACTGTAGAATAATGGACTTTAAATTGTTTGGAAATGGCATTATTACCCTTCCCACTTTGATGGGCAACAACCATTGCTTCTCTATTATAATTGCTGATTTCTTTATTTTTGTTAAATAAATCATGGCACGGTGTAATACGTCATGTGTTGTTGTTCATCTGAGGTTGTATTTACCTAATTTTAAGACCAGCTAAGGATCAGATGATTGTTATTATGTCTGGATATGTAAAACCATAGAATTCAATGAGGGTGAACTTAATTTTTCCCATGACTGTATACAGGTGCATGTATTATTAAAAATGTGTCTTATATTAAAGTATATATGATTTATGTGTATATTAACCCCTTAAGGACGGCGGGCATGCTATGCCATCCTTAAGGACCTGGCTCTAAACGTCGGGGGGGTGGCATAGCATGTCCCTGCCGTCCTATGTACTTACCCGGTTGCCGGCGATCCCACGCCGGCGATCACGGTGTGGGGAGTTACCTGGGAGCCCAGGGAGTTCCCTCCATCTGTTTTGGCCCCCCTGGGCCATGTGATCACAAGATTCTTGCGAGGACCTCGTGATCACATGGACGGCATAGCCGTCCATAGCAATGCCAGCAGGGGGAGTGCCTGTAATGACAGGTACTCCCCCTGCGGCCTGAAAAAATAATTAAAACCGTGTAAAACAGTGTAAAATTTAATTATATATACTTAGATCATGTATATATTTATTATATATACATACACATAAATACACATACACTAAGTGTATTTTAATATTAATATATATATAAATATATATATTAATATTCTACATGTAGAATGATATTGATTAAATATATATATAATTATCATATATATATATATATATATACATACACACTATAAAATAAATAAATATGTAAATACGTAACAAAATAAATATATATTTTATTATTATTTTAATATTTATATAGTGCCATCAAATTCCGTAGCGCTGTAATTTCGTTCTTACTATATTTTAAAATTAATATATATATAGATATCAAAATACATGTAGAACGAAATAATAGATATATCTATATATGTACATAAGTATATATCACTATATATAAATAAAATAATTTAAAAACATTATATACATACACACACACACACACACACATATATATAATAATTCTACATATATATTTATGTAATATTTTTACATAATTAGATCATTTTATTAATTACAATTTGCGGGACCTGCCTGACAACCCAGGCCGAAAATCTAGGGAATTTAATTTGCTAGCACTATATTTAACCCTGTAACTTTCCATTACACCATAAAACCTGTACATGGGTAGTACTGTTTTACTCAGAAGACTTTGCTGAACACAAATATTAGTGTTTCAAAACAGTAAAATGTATTACAACGATGCTATATAATATCATGCGTTTCAGTTTTTTCACGTTGAAATTCACCAGATTGGTTATGTTGCCTTTGAGACTAAATGGCATTGGTAGTCCAGGAATGAGAATTAGCCCCATGATGGCATACCATTTGCAAAAGTAGACAACCCAAGGTATTGCAAATGGGGTATGTCCAGTCTTTTTTTAGTAGCCACTGGCCAAAACTGGCGTTCAAATTCGTTTTTTTAATTTTTTACACACAAACAAATATGAACACTAACTTTGGACAGTGTTTGTGACCAAGTGGCTACTAAAAAAGACTGGACATACCCCATTTGCAATACCTTGGGTTGTCTACTTTTGCAAATGGTATGCCATAATGGGGGTAATTCGCATTCCTGGGCTACCATACGGTCTCAAAGGCAACGTAACCAATCTGTTGAATTCCAATGTGAAGAAATTGAAAAATTTAACATGCTATATTTGACCCTGTAACTTCCCAATAAAACCTACATAGACGGTACTGTTTTATATGTGAGACATCGCGGAATACAAATATGTGTATTTTATTGCAGTAAAAGCAAACAGTATTATGACATTCACAGTTAGAATGTCACATAGAACTAAACATTTTTTAAAAAAATTCTTATTTTCTCCCATTTTTTTTATATTTTATTCATATTAAATTATGTTTCATACCTAAATGATTGATGTTAAATGAAAGCCCTGTTTCCCCTGAATAAAATGATATTTAATAAGGGTGGGTGCATTTAATATGAAAGAGGCGAATTACGCCTGAACAGACATATAGCGCAAATTCAAGGTTTTGTTAACGTTTTGTTTTGATCACAACGTGTACATTTGGCTTGGTCCTTAACCCCTTCCCACCGATTGACGGACCTGGTCAGTCATGGTGGGGAAACCGTTAACGACGAATGATGGACCAGCTCCGCCATGCAGTAAAGTTAACCCCAGATCGCGGGGTTAACGCTCCTCCGGTCTGCCGGGAGCACCCTCCTCCTCCCTGCACTTCCGCGTTCTGTGTGAAGTGCAGGGAGATGGATCAGGGATGATCTGTTTCCCTGTAAAAAAATAAAATAAAGTAAAAGTGAAATCCCACCCCCTTTCCCCTGCTTTAATAAAATTAACCCCTTCCCTGTCAATTGATCACTGACTACAGTGATCAATTGGCAGGGATTACATTTTACTGTCATCTGATTTTATTTTTTTAACCCCTGAGGGTTAATTTAAAAAAAAAATGTTTTAACCCTCAGGGGTTAAATTTATTTTATTAATTAATTTTAATATTTTAAAATTATATATTTAGCTAGCTGGGGTGGGTGGAAGTTAGTGGGGAATTGGGGGATTTGGTATTAGGTTAACGTAAAACAAAGTTTTAAAAATAAGCTTTAAAAAGTTTTAAAAAAATGTTTTAATAACGTTTAAGTAAAAAAAACCCCTCTTTACTCAGTCCAAATAAAAATTAACCACGTCCCTGCCAGTTGATCACTGCCTACTGTGATCAAAATACAGATCACAGTATTATACTGTGATCTAAATTTTTTTAACCCCTGAGGATTAACTTTTATTTCTTTTGAACCCTCAGGGGTTCAATTTATTTAATTAATTTAAATCTTTTATAATTATATATTTTGCTAGCTGTGGTGGGTGGGAGTTATGGGAAAGTGGGGAATTTACTGTTAGTGCTGCTTACTGCTAGTTAGGGGTTAACGGTAAAAAAAAAAGCTTATAAAAATGTTAAATCTGTAAAAAAAAGTTTAAAAAAATTAATACGCAAAAAAAAGTTTAAAAACTAGTTTAAGAAAAGTAAAAAATACATTTAAAAATGCTCATTACCACTACACCTGGAACAAACTAGAGAAAAAAATGATCACACGCTAAGGTTTAAAATATGCCTTTTGAATTACCCCAGGGTGTATTCTTTAATAAATAGTATGTGTTTGTGGGGAAATTTCAATAACCAACCATCTAAACTACTCCAAAATGGAACATGGACACAGCGTAAAACTTCAAAGTTAGAAAAAAACTGAATGGCTGTGTCTCAAATGTGCCCCTTCAACATCCACATATACCTGGCATAGGTACATACGGGGGTATTGCTGTACTTAGACGACATAGCTGAGCAACATATGTAGTATTATACAGTCGTAGCACACATAAGGTTTGCAAAATGTACTGTGCAAACTCACTTTGAGTGTGAAAAAGACAGAAAAAATGCTTATTACCACTACACTTGGTACAAGCTAGCGGAAAAATGATCCAACATTAAGGTTCAAAATATACCTTTTGAAATACCCTGGGATGTCTTCTTTAAGAAATTGTATGCCTTTATGGTGTAGTTGTAATATGTAGTCTGCTCAAGTGCTCCAAAGTGGGACACGGACGCATCAAAACCCTCCATGAAAATTCACACTTAAAAACCGGAACTTGTCACATCTCTTTTACAGCACTGTAACTTCACAAAATAGTGTCTAGGTCATACATTGGGCATATTGGTTCACTCAGAAGGTGTAACTGATTATAATTTGGGGATTTTTATGACAGTGGTACATATTAAGTGTAAGAAATACTCAGCAAAAATGCAACATGTATGTAAAAATTACATTTCACCCCCCCCCCCACCACAAACATTGACATAAATTGGTGGAAAAATGGTGACAAGTTAAGGCAGAATATACACTACATAAGATACCCTGGGGTGTCTGCTTTATCAAATGAAAGCCATTTGTGGGGTTATTTGAACAGTCACACTGCTATAATACCCTAAAATGAGACATAGGCCCGTCAAATCCATCTACGAAAATTACTATAGAAACTGAAATAGCCTTGTCTCTTATATGGCATTGTAACTTTACAGAATAGCGCCAAAGGCAGACAATGGGGGTATCGTTATACTCAGCAGATGTAGCTGAACACAATATGGGGTTCTGTGTAGGAATAGCACACACCAGCTTTACGAAATACACATTACAAAAACCTTGTTATATGTGTATTTGCCAAAATAGAGAAAAAACACAATTTTACTCCAATATTTAGCAGAGATTGGCGATGAAATGGCTATGTAACAAGTGTCAAACTAACCTTAGGTAAATAGCCTTTGATATCTACTTTATATAAATATATACTTTTGTGTGGCAATTTTGTTTTCTGTGATGGCTACTAAACCTACAAAACAAACATACCAAATTCTAAAATTATTGCAAATTGAAATTTTATTTTAGTCCTTGTATTTTGTGACCTGTAACTTTCAAAATAAGCTGAAATCCTACACATATGATGTACTCTATAAATCAAGATACATAAATTAATTTATTTTGAATGACTTTTTCTAAGCTGGACATATTATGCACACTATAGTATTTCCAAACTGTGAATAAAATGTTTGTTTTTAAAAAAAAAAAATTTCAGGCATTTTTATATAATTAATGAGAATGTATCTATGTATATGTGACATCAAATTAAAGTCCTGTTTGCCCTCTAAAAAGCGATGTATAATATGTGTTGGTGCAATAAATGACAGAGATGGAAATTGCATTTGAATACAAACCGCTAATAAAAAAATATAAAAATGGCCTTTGTCCTTACGTGTAAGACAAGCTTCTGAAGCTGTGTCCTTAAAGGAGTTAAGTATAAGGAATTCCAACAGCAGTAGTGATTGCACAATGTGCTTATGCTTGTTTAGAATTGTTTAGAAGAACTGCTCTGTCATTGAATAAGTGTTGCTTCCTGAGATGATATCAGTTCACATTCGGTGAGCGGTCTGTTGGTCCTGGCTAAGTTTGGAGAGAAAAAACAGCCCCACCTTATTTTTGAGTGAAAGTAGGATTTGAACGACATGCACATTCCTCACATTGTTAGTTTTTCTTTTTCACGCACGACTTCTTGAAACTAAGATGATGTTTCAACCGTTGCAAATTGTAACAGTATTCATTGTCGATAAGTGCCGTTTACTTTTTTCTTTTTGTGTCTAATTTTTGTTGTGGTTAGAAGCTGCAGTAAACGTAGATATCAGATTTAAAGAGGCAGATTGCTTTATGTATCAATTTTCCAGGGTCACAGGGAGAAAGAGAAAGGGAGGAAGAGAAAGAGAGAGAGCATGCTATATATATATATTTTTTTTACCAGCCCAATCATGAATTGTGCCAGTTGTGAAAAATATACAGGTGGGAAAAAAACCCTAGACTGATAATTATTTAACCAACAAGAAGAAGCACACTCACAGGACTTCAAAATAAACATAATTGCTGCTTTATTCTATTAATCTTACAGTCAACGTTTCAACCCCTGCCATCTTGTAAAAAGTGCAGTGACAGGATTGAAACATTGACTGTATGCTTTTTCAAGTCTGATAAAATAAATATTTTTTTTAGTACTAAATCCTACATTGGATATAGTTTGACACCAGGGCTTATAAGACCGGGAATCATGGAGAGTTATTCACTAAACTAACTATTGTGGTTTTGCTGTGTGCATTGTGTTTATTGTGGAACTGTGTTGTCTGTGTGAGTATGAGGTTTAATGTCTGTGGGGTTTTGCCACTGCCTATGGGTGCTTGTGTGTGTATGAGGGTGACTGTGGCAGGGTGGTTGTGACTAAGTGTGACAGATTGACTTTGGCAATACAACTCTGTTTGAGGGGTACACTTAGGGAGGGACTTTATGACTATGTGTGAGGGACTAGTGTGGGGGTGACTGTGACATGGTGACTATGTGTGAGTAGTTAGTGTGGGGGTGACTGTGTGTGAGGGGTAAGTTTAGGGGTGACTGTAACATGGTGACTGAGTATGTGTGAGGTGACTATGACATGGTCACTGAGTGTGTGTGGGGGGGTAGTGAAGTGACAACTTGAGTGTGTGTGTGGGGGGGGCTCTTTTTTTCGTAGCTGTCCTCCCCTCACATTGTTGCTAATTTATTTTTATATCAGGCATACCCCACTTTTAAGTACACAATGTGACCAGAGCATGTATGTAAAATGAAAATATACTTAAAGTGAAGCAATACCTTTATTCACTTCCCAATGCATGTACGGGATTGCAATAGTAATTTACAGGCATAACTGATACTGCAACTGCAGATTTCCAGTGATTTTATTTCCAGTGATTTATTTAGTGATTTCCAGTGGGCTTTTATTCAGTTAAAACAAACAGTAAAAAGAAAAATCTCATTCCAGATTGTGCCATTTATCTTTAATGTTTTACTCATCTGACAACCTTAAACTGGGAGGAAAAGTAAAATAAACCTGCCTCCTTATTCGCACACTTTGTTTAGAAACATCTCTTCATCGCTTTAAGCATTTACGCACTGGCGTACATACCTTTCTCCAGCGCCGGACTCACTTGGCACTGAGGATCCCTCAGCCTCTCAGCTCCGAATGCGACCGCGCACGCATTCAAACCGCCCATAGGAAAGCATTTCTCAATGCTTTCCTATGGACGTTCAGTGTGCTCCTCTAGCGGCTGTCCGTGAGACAGCCACTAGAGGCTGGATTAACCCTCAGTGAAACATAGCAGTTTCTCTGAAACTGCTATGTTTTCAGCTGCAGGGTTAAAACTAGAGGGACCTGACACCCAGACAACTTAATTGAGCTGATGTGATCTGGGTGTCTGTAGTGGTCCTTTAAAGGACCAATATAGTGCCAGGAAAACATACTCGTTTTCCTGGCACTATAGTGCCCTGAGGGTGCCCCCACCCTCAGGGACCCCCTCCCGCCCGGCTCTGGAAAAGGGTAAAACTTACCTTTTTCCACCGCTGGGCGGAGAGCTCTCCTCCTCCGATCCTCCTCTTCTCCTACCCGTCGGCTGTATGCGCACGCACGGCAAGAGCTGTGCACGCATTCAGCCGGTCACATAGGAAAGCATTCATAATGCTTTCCTATGGACGCTGGCGTGCTCTCACTGTGAAAATCACAATGAGAAGCACGCAAGCACCTCTAGCGGCTGTCAATGGGACAGCCACTAGAGGAAATAGGGGAAGGCTTAACCCATTCATAAACACAGCAGTTTCTCTGAAACTGCTGTGTTTATGAAAAAATGGGTTAACCCTAGCTCGACCTGGCACCCAGACCACTTCATTAAGCTGAAGTGGTCTGGGTGCCTAGAGTGGTCCTTTAAGTGTGTGTGCATCTTCATGCACTGGCGTACATACCGCGGTCGCAGGGGTCGCAGCCCTGTAACCCCTGCGACCAGGTGCCCACCGCCATGTGTTCCGGCCCGCGCGGGGGGGGGCCACGGATCAATTTTCGCACCGGGGCCCCATGGGTCATGTGTACGCCACTGCATTAACGGTTTAACTTTTATTTTTTTACTTTTTGTTTTTTTGCAGTGTAGTTACAATAACAGACTCACATGGGGTACCCCCAATGCAATCCTCATGCTATTTAAACATTCAGTACAGTGGAGTATATAGTGGAACTTGCACAATTTTTGATTGTGCAAGTTCCACTTGCACAATCAAAAATTTTATTTTTTGAAGTAGTGAAATTACGTTGTACAAAGTTGCATGTCAGATGTTTAGTTATGTGATTAGCTAACGGTCTTGTACATTGCTTGCTAAATAGTTATCTATATCTGCATTAATGGTTTACAGCATTGTTGAACACAAGAGTGAGGAGTACAATACTAAGTCGTTTTACTAATGGCTTGTCCAACAACCTAGGATAAATGTTAGGGATGAGACACTAATTAACATAAGTGCTTCCTAAGGCTGTTAGTAAGGAAGTTTAACGGTATGCTGTACTATAGAACTCAAGATGTAGACATGTTAGTGTTAAATGTTGTTTGTACGATCATTATATCACCCTGGCTGGATTAGAGTTCTTGGGTTGGTTTGCGTTCCAGGTCTTTTTGGCTTGGCAGGCCTGTGCGGCCGGGTACGAATGTCCACTGGTGCGGGGGTTCGAGCAGCGCCCCTCCGGGAGTGTTGCTGTGTTGCTCATTGGTGTCTTTTGGGCTGCTTCTCCGGCTGGCCATGGGTATGTCTTCTGGACCTCCTGAGGTGAGCGCCTGTCAGGACGGGTGTTTGGGCACTGTGTGATACGGTTGGCTGCTGGATGAGACCGCTGTTGTGGCCGCCGGTGATCAGAAGGTGTGTGTGGGTTGCAAATGTGGTCAGCCTTGCTGTGGGAGTTCCTTGGTCTGTTGCAAGGTCAACGTCTCTGGCGGTGGAAGGTGGGGTGGAGTGTGGGCCAGTTCCGCTGCCCTTGTGGCTCGGGCCAGGCCTCCTCTACTGCTCACCCGTGGCGTGGTCCATGTAGTGGGTTGGTAAGTAGTCGCTTGTGGGGTTACGGTGTCTAGTGTGAGGAGCTTGAGTTCTTCTGGCCCCCTGGGCCCTTGTCCGTAGACCCATTTTGTTGCTCTACTCCCTGCGAGGGCGCACTCCCTCTCCCCGGCCCCAGCACACATGGCATCCGCCATCTTGGATGTCATGTTCGGGCCTATGAGCGGGATGGTGGTGCATTTGGGCCCTGGATGTGTAGCCTCTGGGTGAGGACCGGGATCACCCCCACCGGTCCATGGGGGGTGAACAGGATCAGGACCGCCCAGGTCTTGATCTCCGGCTTTGTACCTTTAGGCAGGACAGAGGGGCAGCGACCGCCTGCCCCTCTCACCGTCGGCGTAGGCCCCAACTTGTTCGTCGTGGGCTTCACCTCCTGGGGACTGTAGCTCTGGGAGCCAGCCTCTCCCAGGATCCGGTAACTTCGTGGTTCTGAAGACTCTTGCTGCCGGTCAGTAGTTAGATTGTTTGCCATATTTTTAAGCTTATTTGTGGGTATATTGCAGGAGCTGAACTTATGTGCGACCGTCTAGCTCAGCAGTGCGGCTCCGCCCCCCATGGTTTAACTTTTAATCCTCAGAATTGTGGCTAATGCAGCTAAGCTGCTAAGTCATAGTTATAGAAAATGGCAGGGTAAACACTTTCACTGGATGGCAGCCGATTGCAGAATATGGACAATGTATGGGCAAACAAAAAATATATATGTTCAGCTAGGAGTAGGCATTATAAATTTGTCTTAACATGTTTGAGGTTTACAGATCCCAACCAATAAAACAAAACAGAATGAGATGATTAACCTGTGCCATGTCAGAAGGTATGAAAAGGTCTTGCCCCAATGACACTGAACTGAGCTGCTCCGGGCGAGAATAGAACCTTCCATTTCCTGTTCCCTCGCTGACAGAGGCGTGGGAATGTCTGTACTCGCGAGGCACCTTTACATACACTCGCGGGTATGTCCGTACTTGTGAGGGTATGTAAAGTGGGGTATGCCTGTACTATTATTTATTTGTAATTGAGCCCCTCTCCTACTAACCTTTTTGCAGTGAGGGGCTCTTATCTTCTTTCCCTGGAGGTGCAACAGTTTTCCTGGTGATGCAATGGAATCTTCACCTCTGGCAGAGAGCCGACCACTCGGAATTTCCCTTCCAGTCTCTGACTGGGAATGAGCATATGCACAGAGCTGCTCTGAGCCAGAGGGCAGCCTGCAAAGAGCTCAGCATTGTGCATTTTGGCCGTCCGGGACAGTAATATTTAACTATATTTTGTTTCAGTATACATTTATGGCACATTAATTTTACATTTTCGATATAAAAACTTTGAAAAACATTTGCCAAATAATGAAGTTTCATACAAAAAAAACAGTTTTGTATAAATAACATTTCTCAATAGTTAAATGGTGTGTGGCAGATACCCCAAAACAAATTCAACATTTTGGTGTTGGTGCTTGAAGGTGGGGTCCCTGTTTACCTGGTTCCAGAGTACTACTAGCAAACCAAAAATAAGAAATAATAAATTTTTACAGAATTAGTTTCTCAGGCTTTTCAGACACATCTTCAGCCATCATTAAAGAGGGAATTGAAAAGATGAGCGATTTCTAATTTCTTCTTTCTTGGTTTAACACTTAAGACCGGAGGGCGTATTATTACGCCCTATTCTAAGCGGCTCTAAAC